GTTGCTCAGTACAGTACACACACCAGGAGCCCATCTTCAGTCAGTGGATCAATCTAATCCTTCAGAGAAATGTGTGATGGACTGGTGCAATCACGCCAAACAATGGCCCCGCAGAGGGCTATTCCCCTCTCCCAGAAACTCAAAGGTGAAAAGAGCAGCTACTTTATAAAAGCAGACAATATCAAGTTCCTGATAACACCGCTTTTCTGATTTCAGTGACCACTGAAGGAGAGTTTCACCAAGAGCCAATTACACTTCAGGGCCCAACTCACTTGTCTAAATATCCAGTGAACGTGACACCCCAAATAAATTCAACCACTGAAGAATAAAACTGTGTCTCCCCGTAAACCACACAAAATACTTCATGTAGTCACTCCAGTACCGCCTTTTAGGAAACTTGCAGCTATTAACAGTATGAATCAGTTGTGTCAATGTTTTTGTTTTGTTTTTTTAACCATAATTTGTACTAAAATTTACCGTTTGCTACTTTATGCCTACAAAATACTTCATGTAGTCACTCCAGTACCACCTTTTAGGAAACTTGCAGCTATTAACAGTATGAATCAGTTGTGTCAGTGTTTTTGTTTTACCGTTTGCTACTTTATGCCTTTCAAACTGACACATTAGGCAGATTAGGACACAATATTCTCATGACTTAATTTGTGCACTTTGAGTCTAGGCTTCTCAGAAAGTAAAATCAAGTGTGTGTAGTTGTTCAGCCTCTGACACTGGGAAAAAAAAAAATCCCGTTTAGTTACAAACTACAGAAATACAGTTAGAAAAAGATCATGCAGCTGTTTTTGTTGAATGATTTTTCCTTTGTTACAAGCTGAATTTCAGTTTCTAGTGCTCCCTTCTGTCTTATCGTTTGATTATTGGAATTTATATTATGTAGGGTTGAAATGAAACTGACAGAATATTTACAACTAATTGTTGGTTAAGTAATTATTTAAACAATTTACAATGGTCAGACAGTGATTGGTATATCCCACCATTTTCTAAGAGGCCTAGATTATAATTTTATCAAAACAGAATCAAATGATTAAGTCAAATTATCAATAGCTGCTGTCCTTTTTTGTAATTTTTGAATGGTTTTCTCATCTTTAAAGCTAAATCAGCAAATATAAAGTATCTGAGTTAATTTCAGCACTTAAAAAAAAACTTTGTTCTCTTTGTCCTGTATGAATAAAGGTTTTAATTTGTTTCCTTCAGCTGAGGTACTCCATCAGTTTTGTGCTTCAATTTAAATGGCTAAATCATGGCTACTACGGATTAACAACGATGCCTGATGTATGTCAACATTATCTTCCTTGCATCTATAAATTCTTCACCGAGTTTGTTCTTTCTATGACCCGTTTTCTAGCCCTCTCTGTCTCCGAGCTAGAGTTCCCATGCCCCGTCACAATACAGTGATGATGTATTCAAGCAGTGATGTATGAAATTCAGGCAAATAAAAAGCATTGTCCTCCCACACTGGCTAATTATTTGACAGATTGGACCCTGTTGTGTGTGGATACTGTGGGGGAGCCCTCCCCTGCCCACCCCCCACCCAATAAAGAGGCCACTTGCAGAAAAAATTCCTCTATAGCCTCCCTTTTCTATTCTTTGTTAGAAGATTACATTTTTTTCCACCACATTTTGGAATGACAAAATGGGGGAGAACTGTGTTTTTTTTCTTTTTTTTTTTTTTGTTGGAGGGGGACCCTGTGAGCTCAGGCAGTGACAGAGGGGGCCAGGACAGCAGTCAGTGGCAGTTTAAAAAGATTTTCTCAAGCAGAAATATTTAATCTTCTCAGGGAAAATAAAGCAAAGAAAAAACAGAGGACAAAAAGAAGCTAATCATCCACAGGTCTCCCGCCCCTGGTCTCCTCCACTACCTCCCTCCCCCCATAGTTATCTGTAAAAACAAAGCCCAAGAGAAAAAAAGATTATGTAAGATTGGTAGAATAAATCTGCATGTATAATTATGATGAGTTCCCACATTTGTCTTTTTCTTCTAGCTTCCCTGAAAAGGACTGTCATTGGTTTTACTTTAGTTTTATACAAACTCAGAACCAAAGGAAACATACAGCCAGTTGAGTTTTAGCAAAGGAACGTGGTGTTTTAATTAAAACACAATCTCTATCCTCAACATCATGTATTTGCTGTTTTAATTTGGCTTTTTTCCTCTGTGTTGTCCAACAAAAACAGGATACAGCAACAGCAAACTTCTGTAAATGGCAGAACAAAATATTATCTTGTTATTGAACGGAATGTTGAACAGAAAAGGTCAAATGCAGCACAATTATTGTATGTTTTATTAAGTGACTAACTGTGAGTAGCCTACATGAGCAGCTTTTTACTTAGATGTTAATTTTTCTATCTAAGTAAAAGTTGAGTTCTCTCCATCTTGATTTATTGCCTCCTGTTATATCATAATTTTTGTTCTTTTGTGGGGGGTTTTAAATTGTATTTCAGATGCTGTTGAGCCAGAACACAAACTGGGCTTATACATCACCCCTCGCTGTGACTAATATCTCAGCCTCCACTTCTGGACACAACCTTAATGCTGTGGTCCTGAAGCTAGCAGAGTCGATCCTCTCGGCATCTGGCTGTGACATAGAGGGGACAGAGAGAAAGCATCTGTGGCATCTTGTCCTCCCCCCTCGTAGAGCTCAGGCTGGAGGAACACTTGGCAACGACCCAGTGAAGAGGTGGCTGGAGTATTAACCACACAGCTTCCCCCACGCGGAAGGTTAAAACTCTTTCACAGTTTCCTCTCTCCCACATCAGCAGCAGCACAGAACATATGCTCCTTAGAAACATGTGGACAACAACAAAACCTCAACTCCTTTAACAAAGACAACAAACGTGGTGAATGTAATGATACTTTTTCTCCTACAAAATAAAAGCAATTAGAGCCTCCAATACCAGGCTGTGGTATATTATCATGCGTATATTGTCCCAATTAGCACGATATGGCCACGGTGCAGGCTGCTTGACCTTTTAGCACCATCCTCATTTGTATCATGTTAGCGCAAAAGCATTTCCTAATTCACTGCTCCTCACTCCCTGGTCAGATCACCTCACACTATTTAAATCTATGAACCTTAAAGAAAAGAGAAAGTGTAAACTCTCCCAAAATGTGATCTTGTCCTTCTACAGCACAAGTGTAGTCCAGGACCAGGAATAACAAAGGCGATACAGATTAGAGAGTTGAGTAAGAATAGTGTAGATACAAAGTAAAAAGAAAATTCAAAACAGAAAGTTGATACACAATAGATACAAAATCTTCAAGTAAAAGGAAGTAGTCGGTAAACAAATGATACATAGTAGAAAAAAGCTCAAAAAAGATGTAAGACATACACAAGGTGGAAAGTAGATACCAAGTAGAGTAGAGTGTTAAAGTGAACTGTCACAAAGTACAAAGAGGAAGAAAGGAAAAGAAAACCATTAAAGTTCATATCATCATCCAGATCTGAACTGACGTCTGAAATGGTTTAAGGAAAAAACACACATTTCTGATAAGTAATGTCCAGATGAGACATCAAGTAAAAGATCACCACCTCTGGTAAAAGTCAGTGTGTATCGCTCTGATGACACTGACGCTCCTCAGGCCGCACATGTACCAAAATGAATCTCTGGATGTTTTGTTTTGGTGTGTCACCTCGTATGTCTATGTCGCATCACTGGCCAAGGTGGGCTCCCGCCTGTGCTTTCTGGCAGAGTGTAACAGAGTTTGGAGTAGGGTGGGTTTTTCTGGGGGGGGGTGGGGGTCAGGCTTCGAAGGGAGCACATGGAAATGAGACCTATTCATCCCTCTACCCAAACCCCCCCCGACTGGCATATGGCATGGCATTGTCCTTGGCCGCTGAGCCAGAAGTGATGCAATTTGTTGGCATGTCCTGTCATTTCACAAACTACCCATCCCACTGAGGCCTCAGAAAACAACAACAGAAGACACGGAAGGGCAGCCAACAGCTCAGCTTCTACGAACGCCCTGCCATACGCAATCAAGAGGGAAATGAAAAATAACCTGGGTTAAACATTCACCAGATTCCAATTGGGCTTTTACACTAGAACAAGAAAATCTATGAAATGGCATTAACATTTGTTAAAGTACTGAAACTGATATAGTGGCAACAAACTGAAAGATGCTGAAGTGTAGATTTAAATGCAAGGCCTGAATGAAGAATCAGTTCAAATTAAACTGCAGGACAGTTATTGATTCAGATAAAGTTCCAACACTGAAAGGAGCTGAAATGTCAAATGATGTGTAGGGTATAAACTGAGCTAAAGTAGCAACGAAAGCGAAAACACAAAGCTGCTGAAATGTCAGACAGCACGACGATAAATTACTGTAGTGATTAACTGAGCGGGAAGAAATGTATGTGTATAAACTGCAAAATAATCACAGAAAGTGTGAAGCTAAAAGCAGTTGAAGCATATTGTATAGAAACAGTGCAAGTTGTGGGAGTCAGATGAGTTGAAGAACTTTTGTTGTTGAAAGGTGAAGACCTAATGACTGAAAGGGGTTGAAGAGTCAGTCCAAGTGTAAGCACTGAAAGGAGCTGAAGAGAAGGGGAAAGCTTAATGCGGTCCACTTGACCACACTAATCAAATAGTCAATTTAAGAGTTAAAGGCTGGGGGAAAATCAGATGAAACGAATGTGCTGAAAGTTCAAACGAAAGTAGCTGAAGTGTGTTGCACATGGACAGTGGGAGCAGAAATAGTGGTGGTTATTTGCTTCTGTTGAGCTATAAACCATCAGTTTTCTTTTATGTAAACACTTCATGAAAACCAAATGATTCGTGTAACATCCTACCATACTGACGAACAATAAAATAGTCTTTTTCATTTTCAGCTGAGGCCTGGCCCCAGGCTGTCTAATGTTTAATTAAGTCTCACAGACCTGATGGGGGAGGAGGCAGAATCTTCAAAGAATATCATCAATGCTTTGTGAAACATCAAATCCAGTCCTAGATCCTATTGTGCAGAGTTTGCTCATAGTTGACCTCACCTTCTGTTGGGATATCCTGTTGAAAGACACGGCCGGCTCGGTCCGCCCAGACAAAGAGGATTTCCCTCCAGGGAAGCTCTGAGCCGTCAGTGGGAGATGCTGCTGCTGCTGTTGTCATGTGTCTGATCTGTTACTTGTAGGAAGCCTGAAAAGGATCAACAAAGATAATAGTTGGGGTACTTTTTTAGTGGGATGTTTGACTGCAAATCTGTCCAGTTGTGGCACCTGTAGTGATGTACTGTACATCAATTTGTCTTTTTGTCACAACAAATGTTTTCCAGACTTAAAGAAATTTAAAAAAAAAAAATCTCGTGCAAAGGATTATTACCAGCAGGGATTTTCTTCTGGAGCTGAAGTGGAGCCGTGGCTGGTGATGATGAAATCAGTCAGAGTGTTGGCAGGTCTACTGCTGGTAAGTGGTAAATGCATAGCTACTCTTTATCTCAGTTTACTGCAGGATCATCTTTAATTTGAGTTTATTTAAAAGTTACTGCATGACTTTTAATAAAAGAAGACATTGTGGGAAGTGATCTTCATGATGGGTGTTGCTTTATTTTATTTGTTCATATAGTTTAGATTCTGCTAAGCCCCTTGTCCATTCAGTCATGTTCACACTGTGGATAGCTACATTCCAAATACCTCAGCTACTTCCAAGCAACCTTTTATTGCTGCTACGTCATGCAGACACATCACATCCTATGCACCAGGTGGCATCTGTCTGTGGCAAAAATTAGAGGACCCCTAATTTTAAAGCTGCCCAATCTTTGGATATCTTTCAGTTAACCAACCAAAATAGAGGATTCAGCTCAGGCACCATCCATCATTTCAACTGACTAAATAAATAAATGAAAGGTTAAGGGTTGGTGGTTGTGGAGAGAGGAGGGCGTTTGTCTATGTCAGATCACTGGGTGAAGCTGAGGTGACGACGTCCCAGTTGGGGGTAGATGGTGAGGAGGGGACAAACACGCAGAGCTGGATCACACCGTCGCTGTCAGAGCATCGGTTTGTCAGTGCAGATGTTTGTGAGCTCTACTTCCTTAACTGATAACAAGCTCATGCAGCTAAAACAGTGATATTAATTAGCTAATTCAAAATACATGTAAACTGATTTATTACAGTAACTGCACTTTGTCCAAGTGATTGGGATCAACATGATTTGAAACTGCTGTATGCATAACTTCTTTTAACCAAATATCTTTCTCTCTAATAATAAAACAAAACCACTGAAGTAAAAACAAGTCAGATTCCTGCAGAAAGCCAGTCTTATTTTGTCTCGTCCTTCTTCGCTCTGCAGGCCATCTTTTTTCATCAATTAGGAAATGTGTTGGCATCACAGACAGGGGTTGAGTAATGCTGAGGACTTCACTGATGGAACCCACAACTTATACAAATCACAACAAAACCACAAATCATCTGACAGATGTCTCCCTCATTCGATTAACACACTGTCCATATGGTTCACTGTAGTATATCAATCGGTAGAATATGACAGCCGCTCGCTGGCCTCTGACAGGCCTTAATGGACAACACGCACTAATACATACACTCCTCAGGTTTTACACTTTTAAAAATGTCATATCTAGATTGTCAAGTTGCCAAAGTTGTTAATTTCATCACCGCACACTGTCATCTTTTATTTGTTTATCCTGTCAAGGTGTCGGCCAGGTTTTTTGACACTTCTTCCATTTTATTTTTATGAGGATCCACTTTCCAGGCAGTGACCGCTCAGAGCCTGGTCTGACTCTAAAGGCAGTGGGAGGTTATGATAATTTCACACACAATAAGCCTTCTGTTGTGAGTATTATAACACGAGCAGGCCTCAGTGCTCCCTCTCTGCATATCAAAAACACAACCGCTTATAAGCTTTCCGACCAAACTCATCTCATCTTTCATCTGAAGACTTGTCCGACCATTATGGTTTTAAAAAAACATCTCAGAAATATCCAAAAAAAGAAAATAATTAAGGGATTTCATGCTGCGCATATGATCTCTGTGCACTGATTATTGTGCAGTTGTAAATTTATTCTGTCGTGTTTCAAGTTCACTCCATTGATTTCAGTTTTGTTCCCTTAATAACATTTCTTTTATGTCTGTCAGACCTCATGCATTAGTCTGTGGGCCTCATTTACATTCAGGTCTAAAGCTCCACTAATGACACTATAAAACCTTTGAAGTAAGGTGAATATCATTTATTCATTTTAGTTAAGCTGTTTTTCTAGCCAGGTAGGCTTGTTGAAATAAAGAGCATCTTTTCCCAGAAAGTCTGGCAAAGATGGCGGCTGAGTACAAAGATACAAGTACCAGGGAGATGGTAGAAGTCCAGAAATTAAACTCAAAGTTTTCTGTATAAGGGTTCAAATAAATCTCATATTCCTGAAAATCAGCTTCAGGCTCATACACTGAGACTGTGTATTGATAAAGTAAAACAAGTTAAAGTGCTTTTCAGAAAGAAGGAAGAGGAGACAAGTGGTGGAGGTGAAAAGAGAGAAATGTATATTAACCAAGGAGAATGTGTGGATGTGCAACGATTTGATTTGCTGAGACTTTGAAGCTGTTCTACAATCAGAGAGCAACAGCTCTAAATTACTTTAAATGAACCTACTACTAAAACTGATCTACTTCGTTTTCTAAGAGAGAAACTTAAACCAACTCTGAGCTCATTAATCCTGCACTTGTTAAAATGACTGACTTCTGTACAGCTGATTGGAAATAGCCCAGTGAAGAGTGATATAACAGTGCATGTTTTTATAGGCCTATTGTACAACCTCATAATAAATATATAAAAATAGAATGTCCTTAATTTCTGGGATTTATGAATATAACGTCTATATAAGCTTCATGCAATTTGCACATTTCTAGAAACTGCAACAGAAAGAGCCTGATAGAAAGACTGAAAGGAAGTTGGTTTGACTAGTGATGGTTTAGCTATCAAATTTGTTTTTAAGACTGTCCTGTTAAAACGACCCTGTAAGCTGCCTGCACAAACATCTTATTATGACCCATTGTTATGTTGCACAGCTAGAAGCTGTATTAATTATGACAAGAGTAAAGGAGGATGTCAGGAAGGGAAAAAATCACCATTTACCTCTCAGACACTTGTCCAAAGTGATTTCAGTTTTGTTCCCCACACACACACACACGTTTCTAGGGGTTCAATGCTTTTTCGTTCAAGGACACTTCCACGTGTGGACAGAAGCAGCGGAGGAGGTGGTTACAGCACGTGACATGGAATACAGTAGGATGACAGCTGGGGGGAGGGATGAATAAGCAGAAGACACAGGGCTTTGACAAAAGTTTGTTGAAACGAAAAACTTTAGAGCACACACAAAAAAAATGTTTCAAGTGAAAATTTAATAAGAAAAAAAACTCATTACATGACACTTTTGTACAAAGCAACTTAAAATGTTTGTTCACATATAAAGGACCTCTGAAATATATTGATGGACAGGGATCAAACACTTTCAACTACAGCTTTAATGGAACTTGTGATCTCGTGTCTCAATCTCTGATTTTGGCCACTCCTAATGAAAGTCTGAAAAAAGTCCCCTCTGCAAACAGCAGTGCACACTGCAGACCACCTTCAGTCCCCCCCCCCACAGATTCTCAAGGACATTTAAAATGAATGACTAACACAACTAATGCTGTAGACTGCACAACATGTCACAGTCTCAGCTGAGTCTGTACATCAGCAGATAGAGAATTAATATACAACAGCTGCTTTCCGTCTGAATTCACTGGTGGATCCTCACTCATTTCAAATTGAATGGCTGATGTATACACCTCATTGTCAATTGAGTGTTGTCTGGTGGGCACTTGAAAATGCATTAACCTACAAACAGGGGGGAATAAGCCAGAGAGGTTCCATGTAAAACCAGTGAACCCATTAAAAGGCCTCATCAGAGCGCTCTGTTTATGAGTGTCTCCACTTCATCCTAATGTAGCTTTTAGATGATGCTAATAGATCACAGGCCGTTGTGATCAGACAAGGTAATGGACCTTTGTCACAGCTTGCTGAGTATAGCTTCAGGGCTACACACGCGCATGCATGCATGTGCGCAGGCAGACGTACAAGCACAAACATCTGCATACAAAAGAAACGCACAGACAAGCACACTGTGCCTCCCTCCACACACACACACACACACACACACACACACACACACACATACACTAGAACAATGACCCTAATTAATAACGATTAGTCCTCTCTCAAACACACTTGCAAAATGTGCAAATGGAACAATAAATATAGCTTTTAAACATGGCTTTTACAAGTGAGCTGAAACAAGCTCTACTAATCATTAGCAAACATCACCCCGATTTGTCATTATTACTCTGTGATGCGTGGAAAAGGCTGATAAACCCGCAGTCAGGCCTGGCACAGAAGCACTGCTCATCAAAGTTTATAGTGAGAATCAAACAGCTTGGAAAGTCCGCACACAAAGAGCAAGTCGGTCTAGCTTCACTGGTGGAAACTAACTGGGTACGCTTATCTCTGAAGTTCAGTTCACATGAGCATTTACATTTTATGGTGCCTTATACTTCATTTATCTATAGTTATTAATCACTTTGCATGAAACATTTATCCAATTTAAAGCAAAGTTATATGTTAAACACTGACTAATAGTAGTTTCACCTCCACCTGCTACACAGCATGTCAGTATATGTCTCAGAGGGGAAACGCTGCTGAGCAGTGGCTGCTTTTACTTCAGATACTGTAAGAACATTAATACATCAGTGCTTTTGCCCAAGCACAACCAGGGTCTTTTACTTATAACTTTAAGACAATTGGTTTAATTCACAAGACACATTAAGTGGATTATTAAGAGGTTTTAAGGGATACAAAACCCCCATTTTGTAAAATTACCATCCCTTTTTGTACCTAATTTTCCCTCAGAGTACTTTGAAATGGCAAATGGTTTTAAGTCTGCGGGCCTCTGATCTCTTATCAATGACATAACCTGAAAAGCCTCCATCACTCCACATGATGTGGCCTGAAACAAAGAGCTACAAGTGCTGAAACAACTGCAGCTTTAGGCTTCTTTTTTTATGACAGTATAATGTGCAGTAAAGAAGTTGCAGTTGTGAAATCTTGATTCATGCTAAATAAATAAACATTTGTGATCCACACTATAACACTACCCT